TATATATGGATGCAAGATATATTCCGCATAGGCAAAATTCGACGTCATATATTCTTCATATGAATTATACATATACACCCATGTGTGCGTTTACATACAAGTGCGCATGCGCATTTCTTGTGTCCTCTACTTTGCTCCTATTGCGGCAGCCAGTGGGTTGCAATCTATTTGGATCACCATTAACGGCCCCTTCATACGCTTGAAAGAGACTTACAAGCAAACACAGAGAGCCATGTTAAAGCACGTGCAGATGTACCCCAAGACAACTGCAGCGCACTTTAACAGCCACTTCACGCAACTGCTCAGGAGCAGGTAACCCTCAACGACAATACCGCAGAGCAAATTCAGAAAACAACCATTTGCTGCGGGATTGCTTTGCTTGCTTCTTCGGGCCTCTAGTAATCTAGACACAAAGAGAAAACACTGAACAGTCCGATACAGCTGATGCCGCTACCATTGCTATTACTGCTGCCGCTTTCAGCACTGCACCTTTCTTTGCTGCGGTTACACCGTGCGTATGTGTAAACTTCTCCTTTCTTCGCATCTGTATTCGACACATTTGTGCTTTTGCGAGTCGCGTCGTGTCTCCTTTTTGCCCCTGTCTCCTTTTCTGCTTCAGCGCTTTGGCTCCTGGTTGCAAGAGTTATTCTGCAGTTTTGAAGCGCAAAGAAGCAGATGGCACATACAGCTCAGTCGATGACAAAAAGCAGTTGTTGAGTGGAGATGGACAAAAACACGAATTTAAGCTCTTCGCTGTGCCCCCAAAGGCAGGCTCTAACCTAAGGTCCCTAGTAAGTGTTGATATACGATGTTCGCTTTTTCATTTTGTCTCGTGTGGTCGTTGGTTTTCTTCTCTTTGATTCCGTACCCTTTATCTCTTCTAATCGCGCTTAACCCTTATTGGCTTCTTCTTTGATCCGTCAAATCCTCTTTCGTGCGTTTCTCTCTTGGCTCATGTTTTGTTTGAACCTCCTGCTTGCTTCATTGGGTCTCTTCTGGCAGCAGCAAAGAGCTTAATGAACATAAACCTTAGAACTTGTCTTTGATTCGTATATTGGTGAATGTGACATAACTGCAAGCTCTAATGCTGACTGCGAGTTTCTCATAAGTAAGTCTAGTGTTTTTGGTTCAGACTCTTGATGTTCAGTAGCTTAGAGTAAATGCAAGCAATCAAGGCAAACGAATAAAGCGTGGATGCAGAAATATTACTATCGTCTAGACAAGGATTTAGTGCTCAAGCTTTGTGATTGTTTTTTTTTGCAGAATAATTGCTTTTTCTGGACAGCCCAGTTTTTGTCGCTGGAGTCTTATGTGGTCCCTCCACCGACACCGGCTGGTTCAGTAGTAGTAGATATAGATACCTAGCCAGCTAGGCGGCTAGATAGCTAGCGTACCTTTGTTGGGTTTGGCACAGCTGCACAAATTTGGGCTGCAGCTGCGATTCTGGCCGTACTTCCACTAATTGTTTGTTGTGAAGCTGCAACATGTCGGTGAGTGTGCTGCAGTTGCAGTTGCTGCTGTGTGCTGGATTAGGCACAGCTGCGCACATTTTGGCTGCAGCTGCATTTTCATATCCTCCCGGCCATGGCTCAGCTAATTGTTTAATGTGGATATGCAACAAGTCGTTGCGTGCTGTTTCGATGCTGCTGGTGCACCAACAGCCGCTTCTTATAGTGTGCTACTGTTTGTGCGCAAAGTCGCTGCACGCGTCTTTGATAAAAAGAAATACAGTAAGGGACCAAATCATTAAAATTTGTTTTGACTGTCCACCTTTGCTGCTACTGCTATAGCTGTGTTCCGTTGTAACAAGTTTATACATTGTTGCGACTGCGGCGCGTGCACTTCACTAGCAATACGAGCAATGGAAAATGAACATGCCACCGGAACAGTGAAGATGAGACGTTAGAGAGGAAAAACATTAAAGGCAAGAAATCGAAGCTTCAACGTATGCAGTAGGAGGAACTTGCCGGGTGGGAAATTCAACAAGGCTTAAGCTTTGTAGAAAGAAAGCCATTACCCGTCAAGACAGCAAACGAATCCATGCAAAGTGCCCGTACAGGTACGATTTGGACCGTATAATTCGGATTAAGGCCCACAGCCTACGGTATGGGTTTCAGAAATAGTTCTGGTTAAAGCAAAGAAATACAGATTAATCTCCACCCCCGGAACCAAACTCTTACGTTTTGGCAAGCACAAGAGGGAACTGAGTATAGCGAAGCTTTTTCCACTCTAGAGTTCTAAATAAGCGGCACAGGGGCACAGACGAAGAGTTGGGCTTGAAATGCCCCTATTGGGCTCACGGTTTTGCGCTCACAATCTCCCTATCCGACAGCAGAGGCAGCAGCTGCAAGTGGTGCTTCTGCGATAAGGCGAATTTTCGCAATCATTTTTAGAAAAGGTAGAACGGCAGTACCTGGCTTTTGCGCTAGTGCTGCTACTGCAGCAAAGGGGAAACACTGGGCGTAGCGGCAGCACCAGCAGCAAACTCGACACAGGGACAAAAATGAATGCATATGAACTGACAATTCTCAGCCAAGGTTTTGACTGTCATAAAGCTCTGCGTGGCTTTGCATTATTTCTTTCTGTACTCCTTGGTCCTCCGTATCTTTCTCTTTTTCATTTGTCCTTTTGCTTGTTTCTCCATCTGTCTGATTTTTGTTTATCTCTTGCATTCGTCTCTTTCCTGCGGTTGTTCTGCATTTTGCATTTTCAAAGGGTTTTGGGTTTTCTGAAGATACAATCAATTCTCTGTATCCTGACTTGTTCACTTATCAGTGTAATATGTAATTCATCAGCCCTACCATGGACGCTTCCTTGTGTGTATCTCACATGCACTCACGCCTGGTCATTAAGGGTCTACATTTACGGTTTTTCTACTGTAAAATACCATAAGGGTAAATGAGATGAAAGATTAGTGGGCTGACACCAAGGCATCCACCTGTATATAACGATAGAAGGGGTTTCGTTTTGTATGGAGTTCTAATAGATTGAACAAGTTCAAGGGAAGGTGAATATATAACTTCATTATACGAGAAAGCTAGTAAAGGGAAGGAAGTAAAATAAGCGCGCAAATAATAAATGGAAAAGTGAATATCTATAGCTGAAAACTCGGGAAAATTTTGCCAAAACTTAAAAAGAGCAAAACATAATAGAGATATATTTGTGCCGAAAATTTTAAGCATGAGGAAACATATATACAAAAAGGAACAAGGTTAAACAAGCACATACCAAGCACCTGCTTTAACGATCAAAATGCTATATATGGAGGCAAAAGTAAACCCATAGGTGGGTGGCTGAGATATCATGACGTCGTAGGTTAGAATGTGCGGCATCTAGGCAACAGTTAGGGAAGTAAGACCACAATGGAAGAGGAAGGCATATTATGCTGGTGATCAGCCAGAATATATCTGAAATGAACAGGAAAAACCAGTCATGTTGAGAATATGTCCTCTATGAAGTATCAGCATTAGAGCTCCCTGTTGATTGTTGAAGTGTTTGTATTTAGTGCGTTAGTGTGTTTTGCAATTTTTCATGCATGTTCTGTGAAAATAATCCGCACCTTCTGTGATAATGACCTTTGTGTAGAGACAGGCGTCATTGGAGGTTTTAAAAAGTGAAGCCTTTCCCTCTCTCTTATGGCTTCAAACACAAGCTAGCCGTGCCAGTTGTGCAGCATCGCACTTCAGCATTGGTATGCGATCGGCAAGAATGGGATTCCGCGAAAAGTTGCTGGTTTTTGGCATGCTGTAGGGCTAACAAGTTGCAGTGAGCTTGTGGACTGAGTTGCTCAGTGGCCTCTCAGTGCAATGCTTTCCCTTTAAGTAGAACGAAGGCAACTTCACATACGAAAATAAAAGATCTCTTAATGAACAGAGTTCTTAAGGATTCAGTAAATGTATTGCCTCCTCCGGTAGTCTGAAATGACTGGGTTAGTTAGCTACCGCTGAATCCTCAGAGGTTTTGCAGCTTGAGTCAAATACCACTTTTTCCTGTAGATTTTCCGACCCACAGCTGTTTGCAAGTCTGTTTCCAGTGATTATTGTTGAACTGGCGGTTCGTTCTTGCTCGGGCCGAACCCTCTCCAGTGCTCGTTCTCGTGAAAGAGGAACATTTTTCTGGTGGGTTTGCCCATAGATTTTGTTCAAATGATCCTCCTCACCTTTGCGAGCGCTCGGAGGCCTAGTGCGGGTCTAAAGCGTAGGATCTAAGAGTTAACGACCTCCCACAGGGAATTACGGCGCTTAAGTACTGTTTCTTTTAGCAAAAGCCTGGGTTAGCATGGAAACAAAAGCAGGAACAGTGACAGCTTCTCCCATGTTCTTACCAATACATTTTTGGGCCCTGGTCAGTCTCCCCTAGTTTAAAAATGCCTGGAGCCCACGTTGTTGCAGCATAGAGAAGTCAATCGGAAATAGTAGACAGCATGTGCTTCATACGGCAGAAAATGCTGTATACTGTTTCTGTTCGATATATCTATGCTTTCTTTAATCAGTATACGGTTTTGTAGCGTACGGATTTGGCCTCACGGCGTCAGTTGTCCGAGACCACGCGGAGTGGTCTAGTTGTAGCCGCCGCTGCTGTGTCGTGGATTCCCATTCTATACAGCAGCGCATGCTGTCCACAGTTGCTGCGTAATATCTGTATGTCTTTTTCTGGTGAGTTTCAAGAGTTTATGGCTTAAATGTTTTGTTTTAGGGCTGGCGTTGCTCGTCACTTTTCGCGGTTGTTCTCAGCACCGCACAACGGTCGGAGGTTTCCTCGTACCGCCGGCAAGGCATCGGAGTCATGAGTTTGAGAACAAGTAGTCGGAGATAAGAATGGCTCAAATCTAACCCTTATTTAAACAAGGACTCAAGATTTAACATGTGACACCAGCAGACGGGACTCGGCATGCCTCCATCTGCCGCCGCCGGGGCAGCTTGCACAGCAAGCTGGACAACTCATGCTCAGGAGCAGCAACAGAGCCAGAAGCAACCTCAGAGCCAGCAGCCACGCAGGAAATGGCGCTTTATCCAGGGGCAGCGACAGCAACACGGGGGAGACCCTGCGTCGGTGCCAGGAGGCAGCAGCAACAACGGGAGCAAAGGCAAAACTTTTGCTGCCCCTGTCCTCAACGCCAGTCCCTGCTACGTTTTGCTGCACTTTGTGTTGTCTGTATTCTCTGCTTCTGCCGGAGCAAAGGCAGCATTTCCCCAGCAGCAGCAGCGGCAACAGAAATCTCTGTGGGCCCCTTTTCGCTCAAAACGTATGAACGCCTTCGTTTTATCTCGTCTCACCGTGTTCTTTCTGACAATCAGATAAGCCTTCAACGAAATGCTGAAAAACAAAAAGAAGTTGGCAACGATCCAGCAAATTCGATGATATGGACTCCTGTGTCGCTAGTGCAGCAAAGACATGTGCTGGCAGAAACACTGCAGGAAATCATGAAGGGTGAGCATTAAGCCTAAATACTAAACTCATGCACTGCCTTAATCACAGTTTTTGCTGGACTTAGTTCTCATGAAGGTTGTCAAAGCTTAGTGCTGCGGCATGCGGCTTACGGCTTTTGAATAAAGCTCAGGCATTTTGGCTCCGCATTTAGAGTGCACAGGCAACAGCTTATCGCTACTCATATCGCGCTCAACTTGGTATAACAACTGCGCGTTTTATCTGAATCAGTCAGTGGTGTTTAACCTGGTTTTACGTGTTTTGTGTGTGTCTTCAGCGTTCACACCTCTGCTGCAGCACTTGCCTGGGAGACTGAAGCTACAGTCAACAGAGGAGGCAGAAGCAGAAGCAGCAGCAAGTCTTCCCGAACGATTATCTCTAGTGGCGTCTCTGCCTATTTGTATTTTATCAGCTGATAATTTGGAACGCACAGTAGGCTCCGGCAGTTTTGGCAAGGTGTTCCTTATATCAAGGCATGCCGTTGAGGAAGGCTCTTGTAGGGAAATAGTAGCAGGATCATCAGCATTTGAACCAGAACCAACAAACACTGCAGCTAACCCACACGAAGAAGCCGTAATGCAAAAATATGGAGTCAAGATATTCAGTGTAACACAAGAAGACCCCATTATACATGCTGCAATGGGTGGTTTTCAACATCCTGCAGAAAAACTCAAATCGATACAAACATATCTCCGGTAAGCTCTCATTAGGTATCGAGATGAATAGCCAGACATGTATCTAATTGGCTGTGCAGGTAGCTACGTGGGGCCTCCTCTGGTCGGCTAAATAATACTCTACTCAGCTGACTGGTGGTACATAGCTTATCCGTCATTATCTGTGTAGCTGCCAATATAGAGTCCCGGCCAGGGAGCTACTTACATAGATGCATTGCTGGTTACATTGTAAAATTCGTCTTATTACGTCCATCCTAATACTAATGTGTATTGTTTTACAGTTGTTCTTTTGTTCGTTCGTTTTGTTTGCCCAGAAGTATAGACCTGGATGACAGGTTTCTATGTTCAGCTCTTCAGGAGGCCTTGGGATCAGAGTCATCTGTAGCTCAGCTGCAGCGTCTGCAGCGGCAGGAACTGTCTGGTGCTGAGTTTGCTGCTAACTCGAGGATCGCTGAAGCAGCAATTAATACACAGTTGTACGTCGATGACTTGAAGCTGCTGGGGACAATTCTACACAGGACCCTCGCAGCAATTCAGACATTGAGCCCAGCATCGTACAGCTCTCTTGAAGGTAAGTGGGCACACGGAGACTTTGCCTCTCGTTTTGTGTCCAGCTGTTCTTGCTGTCTGTGCAGGAAGCTGCTGCAGCTGCCGGTGTTGTAGGTAATTGTTATTCCTGTTTGCATGCCCCTGTTTCTGCAATTAATAGCTAGTGTTCTTGCCTCTGCGCGGCCTCAATGTTCATGCTGGTGGATTTCTTTTTGGTCCTCGTCAGTGCATGTAGCTGCTAGTGGTAATAGGTGGTAGTGCTCAGAAGACACAGAGAGCAAGGAACTGCTAAAGCGCGCGACCCTTGCAGCAGCAGCTAATTGCTGTTGATGCTGCCATTGCAGCTGCAGTTTTTGCTGCTGCTCGTGCTCCAGCTGCTGGAGCGAGCCATGTCACGAATTGCACACTGCACAATTCCCCAACTCTCTCTCTGTTGAAGAGTGGTATGCTTGTTTGTGCCTGCAGATGCACCTGCACGAGACAAGGTGCAGTTGCTTGCTGCTGTAGGGGAACAGCTCGGCTGGGGCCTTCCCGTGGGTCGGGTGTTGGTCAGGCACAGTGACGGGAGACAGCTTTGGGGGATCCTCCTCAAACTCTACGACGGAGACATAGACGTCAGACTGTCGCTACTGCTGCTGTTTTACACAATTGCTTCTGCTCCTGCTGCAGCCACTGCGGAAGATAGCTGCTGAGGCTGCAGATCATTGTTACTCATGATAGTCCGCTGAGCCCTTGCAGTCGTTGTGTCGTGGCTGCCACTGTTGCTGGCATTTCTTGGCTGCGGATGGCGGTGGTGGTGGCGGCACGGTTGCTGTTTATGGTGCCGTTGCTGATTCAACTGGGCGAATCCGGTTGCCTTTTTTTGCATTTATTCATGAGTTGCGTCGCTCTGCTCCCGTTGATCACCTACTTTTCAAGAAAAATCACATATATTAAAGTCTTAAAGCTAAAGCGCAGACCTTCAACACAGATATCAGAGCCTACACCCTTGGCCACTGGTCACTGCTTCTTGTCCCAAGCCGTATACTCTCATATCTTTATGTCGTCATCACTAGACCTTAAATCCTTTCATTTCTACCAAAATGCATGCTTTACGTCGGTTATTTGCACTGTTTTGCTTTGTCTGCTTGTCAGTTGCCTGCCGTTGCGATTATCCATTTGTTCCTTTGTGTCCGCTTACGTTACCTGATTATACCTCACGCTATATGTCATGTCTGCCAATTAGAATATGCCCTTTTGTGCCTGCTTCTCCTGTCTATTTGTTTGTTTGTTCAGATAAGCATCCGCCCTACTGACGATGGGTTCAGGTTGGATGCATGGAGCGAACCAACAAAAATGACAGCTACAAGAGCAATAGTTTGGGAACGAAAATTAGGCCTGAAAAATCTAGCAAGCGACAAATACTCCCTCCTTTCTCTCTCCGCCAAAATTGTAGCACCTTTCGTTTATATGCACAATTTTTTGTCAATCGGGCACTTTGACATAAAACCTTCCAACATACTCTTCAAGAAAAATCACACGTAAGTAGCGACCCTCAAAACAGTTATTAAACCCTACACCACTGACCACTGGCCAGTGATTCTTGTCCTGCACGCTTGCGGCTTCACAGTGTCACCGCCAGGCCTTAAATCATTTAGTTTCTACCTAAGAGCATACATTTTATACCACAAAACCTGTCTCGTACAAACCGCAAAGCGTGTTACATGCTCTTGCAACTCTCCCCACGACAAGCTTGTCGTAACCCGCTAAACTGTGAACCCTATGTCGTGGCTTGTTGCTCAGAGTCAAAATTGCTGTCACTGACTTTGGCATGGTGGCTGCATTTAATCGGAAGGTTGGACTCAGAGGGACAACAGCTTTCTTGGCGCCTGAGCTGGAGATCGAGAAGAAGCGGCGAAGCTCCTCACAACATGACCCCTCAAGACGCTTGCAGCCAAGAGGAAAGCGACTTTTTACAGCCTCGAAAAATAAAAATCCGATTCCGCTACCCTTCCGAACTCTTCCTTCCCATGACGCATTTGCCCTAGGGCTGACCCTTGCCACTGTTTGGTTCATGTCTATTGCTACCGTTCCCGATATGTGGGTCGGGCGGTGTCTTGAGCCTCATCTTCAGCCTGGCGCTGCGTTCAATTTCGATGCCCTTAAAAGCAGCAGCGGCCCCCAGGTGTACACACCGAACGTGCGGAACGAACTGAACCGTTGCATGGGTCCCGGAGGCAATATAGAGAAATCATATTTGCCAAACATGCCTCTTTTGGTCAAAACTAAAATAAGGCAACTGGCTGAGACCAATCACGTCATCAGAATATCTGTCAGTAACGCTTTCGCATTCATTGCAGGTATGCCCTAAAGCATTGGCCTGGGCTTAGTGACACTTTTCAGGAAGGCAAGACCAGACCCCATCGTAGGTTTCCTAGCAATGCCAATCTCACTAAAAAGTTCGAAAGCTGGCATTGTACCAGTGGCACGAGCAGCTGCAGCAGTTAGTTTATGTGCCTGTTGTTTCCTCAGTGGCCAATGCTTTGGAAGCAGTGCGAGAACGGCCAGTCACGGAGGCGCAGCAGCTGCTGCAGCAGGCAAAGGGGACGGTACTGTTGCATCTGTCTCTCCTTAAAGCGGGAAGAAACAACATTGAAGTAGGAACTGTAAAAGGGAAACAACAGGCCACGGAGGTACTCAGGGCGCTGCTAGAATTTGGTAAGACTCGCTTTTCACTGCTGCTCATGCTGCTCCTGTAATAGCAACAGCAGCATTATCGGCAGAAGCGTCAACCTTAATTAAGAGTTCAATCAAACATGCTGCATTGAATGCAGTAGCAGCGGCACCAGCTGCATGACACTGCTTGCTTTTTCTGCTGCAGCAACTTGGAGTCCAATTCGGGAGGCTGTAAGATCGTGTGTGGTAGCGATCCCTGTTAGGACAGCTGTCCAGCTTACTGAGCTGCCTGAGGCAGCGGAAGCGGGAGAAGCGCTAGACAAGTTGCCGCAGCTGCTGCAGTGGCCGTTGCTGCAGCAGCAGGTGGAACAAATGAAAGACAAGACCTATGCCGACTTAGTCGATGCGGTTTTTGGGGTAGACATGGATGGACTACATACAATAACGCAACAAGCAATTATAGAAAGAAAAAGTAAGCCAAAGGAACCAACTTCTAGACACTAACGCCTCCCAGTGTGGTCTTATATCCCTTTGCCTCCAAGACATTCTTGCCCACACTGTAGACACTAATCGCCAAACATTAGCGCTTTTTTTGTTTCTATTTTCTGCAGTGTCTGCTGTTCATTTGTCAATCTCGAGGGCCGCTCAAATGTACATACAGCAGCAGCTGGACATCGACCCTTATATTCAACTCATAGAAGAAACGCCGTCGGAAGAGGCCGTTGCATTCATTTTAAGATATGTGGGGATTAACAGTAAAAGTCATATGCTGACTTACTTTAGGGACAGGTCAGTAACGGCTTCGGCTTCGTTTTAATCCTGTGTCTGTTGGCCCTCGTATTGCTCCTTTATCTTTATCTCTCTTTTTTTCACTCTTCGCCTCCCCCATTTTGTCTTGCCTCCTTTTTGTTTTTCAGTGTCTCCTGACTCCATTTTCCTTCTCACTCTATTTTATTTGCTTTTGTGTTTTCTTTAGAAGCCCCTACTCCCTGGGCCCGTACGTTTCTGTTTCACATTTTGCCTCTGTTTCTGTCTCTCTTTCTGCCTGGCCTTACTTGCCTGATTATGCTCCTAATCGATTCTTTCGATTCTTCTCTGTCCTTTCTTATCTCCTTTTGACTGACGTAACTGCTTGGTGTCCATCCCCCTGGCCGTCATCTCACTGATAAATGCCTCGACATCATTTGCTTTCGTTCCGTGTTGCCCTTATTTTAACTCTCCCTTATCGGCATTCTGCAACCTACTGAGTTCACGTATCTGCATCTCCTCATTTTTCGTTGTCAAAATTGTCTTTATGTCTTGTTGTTTGTTTGCTCTGCTTACTTTTTCCCCGTTTTGTCTCAATTTGAAAATTTTCAGGGTGTTTGCCTCTTACGTTGCTTGGGCCTCCGCTGACCGTCTTATTCGTCTGGCTGTTCGCCGCTGCGTTTCCAAGGACCCGGATGGGGCTTCTGTACATGCAAAGTATACCGCAGGAGATATCGTGACTGTAACAGAGCAGCAGATGCTGCAGCAGTGCACTTGGCAGAAAGTAACGCAAATAAGTAGTGAAACTCACTACGGCTTGCCGTGGAGCGTCTCAGCAGCGCTTTTTGATATCGGAGCTCCGGAAGAGCAACTCTCTCTATACTTCCGCGACATAGTCACTCCTCTTCGCGTTGAAGCAGCGTGTGAGCATTTGCAGGTCGCTGCTTTTTGTACCATCCTCCTGCTTTGTCTTCTTCTCGATAGTCTCCGTCTGGGCTCGTCTATCTCTGTCTTTGTTATCTTTGTCTTGCAATGATTCTAAATGCGCCCTCATATTTACCATTCCTTTGTTTGGTACTCTTTCTATTTAAGTATTTCTGTGCCTGTGTCTATCTCCGCCTTCTCGTGTGTCCCTTTCCCCGAATGAGCGTCCGCAAAAGTATCAGCTGCTACTTCTGCTGTTGAGGCCATTGGTTGTCTCCCTTGCTGTTGTTTTTCCAGGGCGAACGGAAAACGCTTTATCTTTGCTGCATTTGCAAGTGGAGCGCGCTGTGTATCGTTTGTGCGTCATTGCTGCTGGAGCTGCTGCAACAACAGCAACGTCAGCAGCAGCAACAGTAGCAGCAGCGCTGCCTGAAACTTCAAATTTGCGCAGTTTATACAGTAGACTGATGAAGGAAATGCAAAGGGACCGCCTCGTCCCCCTCTCCTTTGGGATCAATCAGGAGAGGCCAGAATATGCAGAGATCTTGTATAACTTATCCCTTCTAGAATTCAAGCGAACAGTTATTTTTACTGCGACCAAGCGCCAACTGGGTATTGTCACCAAGGAGATACTGAAGAGCATGAGGACACGGAGCAGTGGGCAAAAGTATACGTGCCATTTCTCTGTTCCCCTTTCTTGTTACCTGTATGTTTACTCCGCATTGTGGCTGCACATCAGTGCGTTCTCCTTATGTCTGTTTTTGAATTCCGCTTTGCACTAAGTATTAGCGAAGCATTTTTGTTTACTTGCAGCACATTACCTTGTGTTCACGTCTACGGTACGTCACCCATATATTCTGCTGGCGCTGTTGCGTCTGTGTGTAGGAGCCGCAGCAACAGCGTCAAGATTACTTTCTCTCATACCTGAGTCAATTCTTGCTTGGCAGCGCTACGCCCCAGAAGAGACTACCGCTTTAAGAGTAATAAGGGAGGTAGTTGAGAAGGAAATAGATATCATAAACACTCCGAAAAGTCCGTTCAGGCGTTTGCGTAGCTCGAACACTGTATACACGTTAATGGCTGCTGACGTGGCTGTGAATCATTATTTTCTAAACGTCACCTTGAGCACATTTTAATTCGTGGATTGTTCCAGTTGTAGAGATGGTTTAATTTTGAGTTTTGGAGAGTTGCTTATGTGTATATAGTGGCGTTGATGAAGGCATTCACAATGTTACTTGAATGCATGAGCATTGCTGCATACCTCACATATATGTATACAACTAAATATGTGTACGACTCTTGTACATACAGTACAACATATGTGCAAATGCACTTTTGTAATTTTGGATGTGTGTATAATATATTCATCAAAAATAACTTATTTTGCGCATTCATCCTTAAAATATAAACATAAATATACGCACATGAATACATGCATATTTTCATATGCATATGTACTCTCACATACAAGTATGTATGCGCTTCTTCTCGGTGCGCTGTTCTGCTATCGTTGCAGGAAGTGGACTGATTTCCTTTTGGATAAGCACAAACGGTCCATTCGTTCGCTCAAAAGAGACAAACAGCCGAGCAGGGATATTAGTGATGAAGCAAATACAGATGTACCCCAAAACAACTGCAGCTCACTTCAACAGACATTTCACGGAAGTCCTTAGGAGCAGGTAAGCTCAAGCTGAAAAACCATACAGGAAACCTAGGAAGCAAGCGCTTGATGCAAGTGTGATTTACGTGCCTCTTTGGCCTTATAGTCAACGAAACACTACATCCTGTGCCCCTGGTGATGCGGTTAGCTGCTGCTGCTTATAACGCTGCATGAGCTATGCACAAATCTGTGTATGTTCCATGACTTCATTTCCTTCTACTAATACATTTCTCTTTACTAATATTTTGCTCCATCTTTTGTCTATTCGTCTGCAATTTCTCGGCTTGCGTTTCTCCTTGTCCATGTTTGCCACCTTCCGTTTGCATTTCTCGATTCTATGTCCCTTTTGCTCTTGTATCCTCTTTTTCTCGTTTCTGTTTCAGTTCTCTGGCTCCGGGTTGCGAGAGATACTCTGCGATTTTGAAGCGGCAAGAAGCAGACGGTACATTCACACCAGTCGACCCGACAGAGCAATTGCTCGGGGGTGATGAACAAAAAGACAAATTTAGGCTCTTTGCTGTGCCGCCAGAGACAGGCTCTAACCGTAGACTCCTAGTAAGCCTTGATGTTTACGTGGCTCTTTCTCCTCTTTCTTTGTCCCGTGAAGTTATCATTTTAACTTTCTGCCCCCCCCATCTGTCCCATTCGTCCTCTTTTTCTTCTTTACCCTTTTTGCCCCCATTTGCTCTGTCGAACCATTTTCATGCGTTCTCCTGACGTGTCTCTTTTGTTTGTGTCACCTGCTTGCTTGATTGTGTTTCCTTTAGCAGCGTCACAGAGTTTACATGAATTGACTTTATTTCTCTTGGTGTGTTCATCTGTTAATGTAACAAAACTTGCAGCCCTAACGTAGACACGTGCTTCTGTGTGCCTCAAATGCGTGCACGTCAAGGTCTTAGAGTTTAGATTCTCAATTTTTAGTCGTTTATAGCATACGCAAATGCTCAAAATAATAAAATAAAGTGTGGACACCGGAACTTTCCTATCTTCTGGAGAAACGAAGATGTAGTGCTCAAGGTTTGACATTGTTTCCTTTTGCAGAACAACTGCTTCTTGTGGACGGCCCCGTTTTTGTCGCCGGATCCTTTTGTTGTCCCTGCCCCTGGTCCAGCGGCCGATCAAGTAGTAATAGACATGCCTTACTAGCTAGCCGTGTAGCCAGTGTATCTGCCGGGTTTGGAGCAGCGGCCAAAATTCTGGCTGCTTTTGTCTTCTCCAACCCTCACTGCCACGCCTTAGCTCTTCGATTTATATGGAATTTCACCGAGTCGTTGCAGTTGCTGGCACAGAAGCTGCAGCCTGTTCCGCTGCGCCTGTTGCAGCAGCTGCCGCTGCTTATATCGCTGCTACTTTTCCGCGCAGCGGCTTATCTGGTAAACAGAGATGCAGCGGATAACAAATTATTGATGAATTGATTGTTGGATTGTCTGCGGTTGCTGCTGTTATTCCTGTTGTTGGTGCTCCGATGGATTTAAATAGTGCTGCGACTGCAGCATGTAGATTATGCCGGCAATGCGCATGAAGGAAAGTGGGTTTTGTAGCTGCGAAATGAGGATAGACAAGTAAACAGTGAGAGGCAAAGAAACAAGTAAAATGCTGCACAAAGAGAAGCGAAGCATGCTGCAGCAGCAGTAGCAGCAGGAGCTTTGCAGAAAGCAGACAGCAACCATCACCTGCAAAGGCGACACACAAATCGCAAGCTCATTGAACTGGAATTTTGAGCCTAGTATATGGATTGAGGGCCACGGACTATGGCTTAGGCTTGAGAAATAGATATCACTTTTGGAACTGTTTAGGGCTTGCAAATACAGATAAAATCCCAGATCCTTTTATTTTCTCCAAATACAAGTTTTTGCGAAGGAGCTGGATGCAGTGAAGCTCTCCACCCTCTGGAGTTTCAGGGGTAAAGAGTAGAGCTCGAATTGCCCGCACTTCGCTTGGGATCGTCCTTTCGTAGTTTTCGTACCAAGCAGCACAACCGGCAGCTACAAGTGCTACTGCAGCAACGGGACAAATCCATGCCTTTCTTCTGCTTATTCGTACCATAAGCCGACTCCAACGCCCATATTTGTGGCTCGGGCCAACACTGAATCTTGGTTGTGCAACACATTGGTTTCTGGACATGCGTGTGCCCAGTCCATGAGCTCTTATCGTCCGTCCTTGCTGTCGGCGTTTCCTTTTGTGGAGATGTTTGGTGTCCTTTCATCTACAAGCTTTGTATTTTGCGCAACGTTGAAAAGGTTGCTCTTGTGTCTGAACAGCAGAAGGTCGTCGGCCATAACTTGCACTTCAAGCATGCTTGCGTCATTAACCGCAGTGTCATCTAGGAAGGCTTGCCTCTTTTGGCCATCACTCACAACCATGCTATTTTCATCAGGAAGGGATGAAACTGCGGTCAATTCATCGATTAGCGCCCATGCGAACTCTCATCTCGCATATTTGTCCCGTAGTTGAAAACGGAGTCGATGAAGCAGCGCACAGCAGAGGCGTCTCCTCAAAAATCCACATCTTAAAGCCATCATCCTAGCAACACCGTTGAGCGGAGCGCCAACTGCGCCGGTGAGTCCTCGAGCATTCGAGCTACGCTCCAGACACTTGTTATCTGTGAAGACACTTGGCTACTGGCGTACACTCTAAATCTCCAGCCGCTGATGTAGGCCCTCGTTCTACGGTGGGGTCCTTTACATGTCTTCGTTTGCTTCCAGAAATCTTCCACATCTGCTGATCAGTTGCCTCAGTTTAATTTTAAGATTTCGGGCTTATAGCTTTGATGTGTATGGTCCAACAGGCGGCGTCCTGTCTGGGTTTAGCAGTGTTGTTTTGAGCCCACTCATGCTTTAGTGTGTACTGCGTTCCTTCTTTCCCTAGGCATTGTTTTAAACTCCTTGTCACCTAAACAGGCAACCGTTGTGGTAAACCCGAAACGCCAGCTTCATATTCTAAGCCCTAACTTCAAACCCCAAATTTTTTGAACCTTCAACCGTTGCGTGCAACCTCAAGCTCTAGCTCTAAGGCATAATCCGTAGTTCTGATTCTAGGCTAGAAGCTCACAAGCCTAAATTCTATTGCTTCATTAGTAAGGCTAGTGCCTAGACCCCAAACGCCAGGTCGGTACCCCAGCTCCATGTCCTTAGGGTTTATTTGCTAGTCTTGAAGATAATATCTCTTTTCCAGTGAACCTCCAGCCTTCCTGAGCTTGTCCTTTTTCAGGCACTCCTTGCTGCTGCTACTGTCGATGCTATTCATGCTAGCGCAGCAGCACTCGCCACTTATTTTGATAAGGTCCCGCTTGTTTGTTGCTTTTCGTTTGCATTCCTACCATTGTGTCACCTTATCGAATCTAGCAGTGCACAACTCCACCTTTATATTACCGCGGCTGCTGCGGACACTGCTGCTATTTCAGGTCTCGGTAATGGCTGCTTTGATGTACATTAATTTCTCTTTGTCAGCTGAGACGCATCCCGCCCAACACAGCCTAACCACCGTAGCCGCCGTACCATGTTTTCACATCTCAGCAGCATCTCCAGCACGAGCAATAGCAACATGAGAAGCAGCAACAGTAGTAATAGTGAACAGGCATATCATCACAACCTGACAAAATCCGAGTCCGATAGTCACTGCATTTTTTTGGCATATCGGAGCGGCAGCAGGAGTAGCAACAGCGATTGCATGTACAGCTTGAAAAATTAATTCGCGCCTTGGTGTTCTGCTGTGGATCTGCCAATGAAAAAATCTCCGCGTTTGTCTGCGCAGAGGCGGCTGCATCATCAGCAGCGGTTGCTGCTGATGATGCAGTTGCTGCTGTCGCAGCAGCAGTTGCTTCAGCAGAAGCGGCTGCAGGTTCTTTGGTACAAAGAGCAACGGCATAGTGCAGCTCCATATTAAACAATTAATCCTGGGGTCTACCCAAGGATATAACTTTAAAAAAATGCTAATGGTGTTAGTGCGCTAGTCCATCCGACACATAGGCATGCATATCCATCCAGATGGCTAGCAAACTATATTTCTGTATTTATTTCGACTTATTCAGGTGATGAAATGATGTTACGAACGATATAAGGTTCCGGCAAGAGAAACTGGGGTGTCCAGAAGAAGCAATTATTCTGCAGAAAGAGACATTCGCAAACCCTCAATCGTTTTCTCTGGTCTGCTGAGTAAGCACACTTAACCGCGATTTCTTTTCCTAGCCCGTCTAGTCCTGAATGCTCTCAACAGGTGATGGCTAAAATATTAAACCCTTGTCCGCAGATTCGCTTGCATAGAAGCCACAGAGAAGAATGCGTAATGTTGGAAAGTATAAATTACATACCACCTTGACCAATTGAAAAAACAACAACTAGGCAGCTTAAAGGTTTTCCTAAACGCTTTTTCATATGCAGAAAGTATGCTAGAAAAGAGAAAACCATACAATTTAGCAGGCAACGGAGAGATACATACAATTACAGAGACCGAAGAAGCAGATGAAAGGCTGTTGGAATGAGGGAGACAGGAGATGAAAGTAAACACTGACCGTAGAACGAAAAAAGGACAAGAGAGACACTTGCGAATCTTACTAGTCGCCTAATGTTAGAGCCTTCCGGTGGAGGCATAGCGAAGAGCCTAAGCTTGTCGCTTTGTTCCCTCCCTCCCAATAGTTGCGTTGTTTCTTCGACTTGGGTGTATTTACCGTCTGGCTCTTTGCGCTTCAAAACAGCAGAATAACTCTTGCATCCAGGAGCCATTGAACTGACACAAAGAAGACAAATGGAAGCAAAGGGGATAAAAGCTCATCAAAGCACTGCATGAAACATGTGTGGATATGTATTCCGCTACTGCAGTAGCAAAAGTAGTACAAGCAGCACCAGAAGCAGTAGTAGTATTAATTACTAGCAAGCACAACATCAAAATAAGCTATAGTTTCTCAGTTGCTTCCTCCTTTAGTGTCAGACCAAACAGGCAGACAGAGCAGATTTGCGTCAGGCGCCTTCTTCCTGGATTCCTTTCAGGGTTTGTGGTTTACCTGCTTCTGAGCACTTGCGTGAAATGTTCGTTGAACTGTGCTACAGTTGTTCTAGGTTGCAATTGAATTTCCTTCATCACTGGCCTTCCCTTTTGCTTGTTTGTCTCTGGAGAGCGGATGAAGGCCCCGTTGATGCTAATCCACAGCGACACCAGATCACTAGCTGCAGCATAAAAGTGCAAAATAGCTCTATATACGCATTCATGATAGTATTTGTGTTCAGATATTTGTAGTCTCATACGTGTGTGTGCAATTGTTGATGTATTATACGTGTATGTGTGCACATGCAAGATTCTTACATCTCTCAGTATGTAGTTATACGTACAAAAGAATATAGAAATGCAATTTGCGTATTATGAGCGACAGTATAAACACGTTGTGAATAATATATATATATACACATTTATGTGAGTACAGGTAAACAAGCGATTGTGTGTTCACATGTATGGGTATGAAATAAAATCACTATGGGACAAATACACCTAAAGAATCGCACATTGGCAGCCCAAAATGAATGTTCCATTTTGCACAAATGCAGGCTTGCCCAGTAAGTCTACTGGGCGTTTCAGCTGCTTGTGAGACTGAGCGCACGCTGTGGGGTCTTGATCGCTTTTATTTCATTTTCCACTGTCTCGTTTATCACCTTCTGAGCCTCATTTGCATCTGATGCATAGCGCTGCCACGTAAGGATGGATTCAGGCAGCAGAGGCAGCAAAGTAGACAGCGTCGCTAAGGATCCTTCACACAAAAGCAGCAGCAGCAACAGCAGCACAACACACAAGGTATATGAAGCTAACGCGTGGAAAGCAGCTTACTTGTATGCATGCACGCAGGGAGAGAAAGCTACAAAGAAAGAAAAGGTGCGCATGAGGTTATGGTGGGAAACAAACATGAAGCAAGGGAAAAAAACGGGAACAAGGCCAATACAGATAGGTTTGCGTACTCTGTTTTGTTCCCATGGCCTGCAGTGTCTCCTGGGCGACGACACTCAATTGCTTCTTCGCGGCAGCAAAGATAATTGCTTTTTTAAATTCCAAGAGAGATAAGTTAAACAAAACTTCCGTATATTCTGGCCTTTCTTGCTCGTAACCAAAGGCAAACGGGACAATAAAGTCCTTTTGCATCTCCATCAGTACTGTTCTATACA